CAAACCCTCCCCCGCCACCGCCTCAAGTTCCGGCGGCCCCTCCTCAGCCACCGCCTCCGCCATGTCCGTCTCCGCCTTCCGAGCCCTCGCCACCGAGCACATCTGGTCCCTCGAAGCCCCTCTCCGCGACGCCCAGTGGCGTTCCCTCTACGGCCTCTCCTACCCCGTCTTCACCACCGTCGTCGAAAAGCTCCGGCCTCACATCGCCCTCTCCAACCTCTCCCTCCCTTCCGACTACGCCGTCGCCATGGTCCTCTCCCGCCTCTCCCATGGCTTCTCCGCGCAAACCCTCGCCTCCCGCTACTCCCTCGACCCTTACCTCGTCTCCAAGATCACCAACATGGTCACCCGCCTCCTCGCCACCAAGCTCTACCCGGAGTTCATCAAGATCCCGGTCTCCCGCCGCAGACTCATCGAGACCACCCAGGCTTTCGAGGAGCTCACATCGCTTCCCAACATGTGTGGCGCCATTGACGGAAGCCCAATCAAGCTCCACAAGCACAACTTGCCTGGAAACTACAAATGCAAGTATGGGTACCCTTCGGTTTTGCTCGAAGTTGTGGCTGATCACAAGAAAATCTTTTGGGATGTGTGTGTCAAAGCTCCAGGAGGCACAGACGACGCAACCCATTTTAGAGATAGTCTTTTGTATAATAGGCTGACTTCTGGTGATATTGTTTGGGATAAGGTGATCAATGTGAGGGGTCACCATGTGAGGCCTTACATTGTTGGGGACTGGTGCTATCCCTTACTGTCTTTTTTGTTGACACCCTTTTCTCCAAATGGGATGGGAACTCCCGCACAGAACCTGTTCGATGGAATGCTTATGAAGGGAAGGTCTGTTGTGGTTGAAGCAATTGGATTGCTGAAAGGGAGGTGGAAGATTCTGCAGGACCTCAATGTGGGTCTTAATCATGTGCCCCAAACAATTGTTGCTTGTTGTGTGTTGCATAATTTGTGCCAGATTGCGAGAGAGCCTGAACCGGAGCTCTGGAAGGACCCTGATGAGAGTGGGGCGCCCCCGAGGGTGCTTGACAGTGAGAAGTCGTTTTACTACTTTGGGGAAAGCTTGAGGCAAGCATTGGCTGATGATTTGCATCAGAGGCTTTCGTCGAGATAGGACATGTTTCCTCAGTAAAGGGATGGCTTCTTAACCCTTATTTATTTCTATGCAAGGATGTCCTTTTGTTTGTTATCTTTGTTCTTCCTTTTAGTTTAGGTAGGGTGTAGAACTTGGATGAAGCTAATATGTAATGACTGTCATATAGTTGCTGGGACCAACTGACATGGTAATGAAAATTACAAGATTGGTAGAAAAGTGGAAATTCACTAGTGTTTTATCAATAGCATTGCATTCTCATCTCTGTATTTAGCAGGGCCTGGTGAGGGGATTAGTAGCCGGTGTGGTTTTATGTCGATTTGGCAGGAAATCTGTCAACCTACAATCTTGTACTTCTTAACATTGCAATATTACTATTGAAAATTATCATATTGATTGATGAGAGTACTTCTTTGGTGCATTTTGAATTTTGATCCACTATAATTGGTTAGTTGCTAGCATTTTCTTATGAAATTTTTTCTTTTTGAAAATGTTATTCTGGCTTAAAAAAGCTAAATTGATTGTCCAAGAAAGTTCCAGGCCCAATAGTTTCATGGTTGTGTGCCTTCCTCTCAGGGTTCAGGTCTTGCAGAACTCTCAGATAACAGTATATGTTTCGTGCTTGTCCCTTGTGCAGTTGCACTGACAATGTGGCCGGTATTGTAGAGAAGCACTAATGGAAGGAATGCCGTTGCCAGCAACAGTACCCTTCTGAGATTTTATTCTTCCATGACTGACAGCAGAAACAAAGTAGCAGTTAAGATGCCGATCGAAAATAGGCTTATACTGAAACAACAACTAAACTACTCTGCATACAGTGATGTTCCTTAAATCCTAAGTAAATGCTAATAATTGGCTGAGCTAGTGAAACATAGCCTTCTATCCTTAACAGGAGGAGAGTTCAAGGTCTAAGTTCCAAGTTGAGTGACATTGTTAAGACTAGTGTTCTTTTATAAGAAAATGCTAGCAGCTGTTTGGCGCTGGATTGATGGCAAATTCCATAGACTTGAGGTTTCCTGGAATTCATGTTTCCATCAATAGAAATTAAAAGGACAGCTGAGACAAATTATTGAGAGAAGAATACAATCAGAATTCTGGTGAGGATATAGAAGCTCTGCAAAGGTAACCAAGCCAGCGTTTATCGCAGACCTAGTTTGGTCTATAGGTCTCGCGCAGTGTATTTGATCTAATTGAGATATGAGAATATACAACCTCCCTCTCACGATTGATCACAGAACTGGCATGTTATATACAGCATTTCATCCTTCAAATCTCATCAGACGCAGCTTGAAATCCACATCCTTGGCTTCTCAAGATACATTAAGGCAACACGAGATGCCAGCTTCCGAAAACACCGCCAAGTGAACATGGTAGGGCAGAGAAAGATAATATGCAGTTTCACTACAAGGAAGTGGAACCTAATGCTTCTTCGGGTCCTTGTTTGCCTTTTGTGCTTCTTCAGTAGCAGACAATTGATCCTAATTATTGCATCTAAAATTGCATTATATGACAGCACACCAGGCATAAATCCATCAAACTTTGGCTGAATTAACAAAGTTAATAGCCTTATCAATGAAGTTCATGTGAGACTATGACTTCACCAATTCGAAAACCACCGAGCTTGAATTGCAGCTGATATGCGAGGACAAGCAATTCAACAAGCACTATCATTAGAAAGATGATATGGGGAAGAAAACATAAAAAGAGTTTCCAGAATTGATTAGTTTGCTTGAATTACGTGGTTATAATTATTTTGTGTATAAAAATCCAATACTCGAAAGACTTATGCCTCACCTTTTTAAACATTGATATGAATGTATTCGGTGAATTGTGTCCTCTCTCTCTCTCTCTCTCTCTCTCTCTTGTTTTGTTTTTTCTTGTTTCAAAATTGCTGCATTTCCTTCACCTAAATTCATTATTTTCTGGTAGACACGAGTTTAGCCAAGTTAGCTAAAATGGATGTGCTTCCCACTTTGCACCCGAGTTTGTAAATGCATGAATGACACAATTCATCTCAATTTGAGCCATTATGCAAAATAGGAGGAAGTTTTGTGATTTTGAGGTTGAAGTTGAAGGTGTTGAAAACTCGCCTCATGAAAGCATTTCTAAAGGGGGCTCTAAATTGGGCTCAACAACCGTTGGTTTTCATAGTCGAACTTGAAGCCCTTGAAACCGAGTGGGCCCCATTCGGAAGAGTTTTTAGTTGTTGATGGTGAGATTTCATTTCCTCAAATAACCTCCTCACTCAACCTCCTCATAAGCCCACTTGCTGCTATCCAAACTGCAACTCTCCACTCACCCAGCACCCTTGGGAGTTTATACTCGCCCTTCTACATTATTTTTGTGGTGAGGGTTGTACATAGACCGGCTAGCCATATAAAAGTTTCAAGTGATTGATCAGAATATTTTTAAACAAAGTAAACAGTTTTTAATCTTTCATAAGGATTTGATAAAACAAGATTTTCCTGGACTCCTTTCTAAAATCAGAATTATCCCCTCTTTCTAATTGGTTTTTGGTCCAAAATATTTGTTGCAAAAACTGCCTCAACCCTTCGAGAAATTATAGAGTAGTATGGTATCACCATGTAAGCTGGTGATACTTCCATTCAAAATTTTCCATGTGTATAACTTTTTATATAGTTGGATTTAAAAGTTCAATTTTATAATTTAAAACCATAAAAATAAAAAATAAAAAATAAAACTCAATAATAATAAAAATCTCCGGCAACTACTTCCCTGAGCTCACCACCAAAGCTCCTCCTCCCCACTTTTTGCCATGGCTGCCCATTAGGTTTTTTATTTTATTTTATTTATAAAATCTCTCTCCCTCTCCTTCTATTATGAGTTTAGGGTTCAATGAATTTTCTCTCTATTGTGGGTTTATGGTTCAAGGGGTTTAGATTGAAAATATGATGGGGGTGGGTTTATGATCTTTATGGAATAATTTAATTTCATACGAAAGGTTTTGAAGAATCTGACACTACCAAAATTCGAAGTATTACCGGCATTAATAGTCGCCTCTATTAAGCATTTTTAGAGGCACGTGTCGAGAGAAAACGCCCCTAATGGAAAAGAGGGGCGGAAAGAAGATACGCCCCATTAAGTAGCGCCTCTACTACTATTAGGGGCGTAAAAGTTGAAAAGATCTGCCTTTATAATTTGGGTTACAACGTTGGCAGACTCCATTAAAAGCCCTGCAATACAGGCTAACGCATCCGCCCCTAATATTTTCATTTAATATATTAAAAAAATTCCAAAATAAAACGCAAAATTCTCGTTTTGATCAAATTATTCAAAATTTGAATTTCAAATCCAACATACAATTCTCTTTTTTTTCCATCTCTCCAAACAAGAAAAGAAACACAATTTTTGACTTCAATCTCTCTACTATTTTGTTCTTCCCCACATTCGCACAACTCAAACTCTTGCTCTCTGAAGCTTTACAGAAGAAATCTCCTGGCCTTCTTCTTAATTTGCTGCAGGAAAAATAAAAACTAAATAAAAGTTACGTGTGAAGGAAACATGCATTTAATGCTTAGGAAATGAACTTTAGCCACAACCTATACAACAAAAACATTCTAAATGACGGATTCATTTTGTTTATACTAGTTGAGGTAAACATTTTTCATTTTAAACCAAATATCTTAGCCTAGTCTCTTTGAACACAAATAGAAAAGGGAAAGAGGGAATGGATCTTTACCCTTGATGACATTTTCTTGATTTCTCAATAATGAACACCTTTGTTGCAAAGGCTCTTGATTTTGACTCCTTCACCTTAAGGCTCCAAGATTGGAGTCCTTTACCTCACCACACCAAATGCTCATAAAGATGAAGATAAGGCAATCAAGAAGTATGGATGCTAGTCTACTTCTTGATTGGACCAATTTTTGGTTTATGGAAGCTGAGATACAAAGATGATCACTCATCAACCAAAGTAGGAAACCAAAAATCCTAGCTAGGTTTTCTCCAACACTTAGCTTATATAGGACAACACAAAAGGCAATTGGGTGGGTATTTGGGGCTTCATTTGGTCCATGGGTCATGTCATCTTATGCCACCTATCCCTTGGGCCCAATAGCCTTTTGGGCTATTTTGTCCATTTCCTTTTAAATCATATTTAAAATCTCATTCCAATATTTCTATATGTCAATATTAATTCCACTATTAATCTTTTAATTATAATTTAATTATTAAATTATAATTATAGTCTTACTTAATTGACCAAGTCGAACTATTTGACTTTGGTCAATTGCTCCAGTCAACATGTTGACTTTTTACCATTGAGTTTGACATTTGATTATCAATCATTGACTTGTGTCTCCTTATTTCATTTCTCCTCATTTGTACCTCTAATCACATTCTTTGGGTGTGCAAATCAGTAGGTTCCTTTTAGTAAGGTAGTAGATTGACTTAACTCCTCAAGATGATATACAAATTAAATTACGAATTAAATTCCACAATTTAATTCTTCCTATTAATAAAGGTTAATTAAAACCTTTTAGGACATCCACAAACTATGGTTGTCACCTAGCAGCAAGTCACGGTTATCTGAGCTAAATGAGACGTTGTGAAAGAACCTATTCAAATTGGAATGACCGTGCAATTGAATCATTCTCTTATGTCAATACTCCTTTTTCACATTATTATATCATGGAATCCGATTGTCAATATCCTAATGTGAATAATTCCATTTATATGATTATCCTATTAAGATTTGAAGACTTCTTCTTTCAAGTCTTATCCACTACTCTGCTCAGAGAGTTGACCAATCAAATCTTGGAGTATTCTCTCTCCTTGACTGAGAGTAGAGATTCCTTATTGTACATTCATTTGCTTCCATGACTCTCTTGAGAATCCTGATGAGCATCTTTAAGCTATGTCTAATTCAGCATGACCGTATAGTGCCCTCAAAGATTAACAACATAGCCACAAAACATCTATGATGCCTTAGGTCTAAAGATTAGTTTGCACCATTGTAATTTATGAATTTCAGCTTGACATGTGAGTAAAGACTTCTATGCTGTAACTCATGTGTTGGATCACGTTCAGTGCACTTGTTCTTCTACAAGTACCTACACACATATCGATGTGTCTCCACACTTCATGACTTGAGACCTTGCCATTCCCTACATATAGAGACGATACTGTGTGTACTGGTCTTTGCAGAATATTGACGCCCAATCAATATTCCTATGACCATGAACATATTCATGATTTAGGGATGATGAGAAGTCTCCATGTATGCAATCTCATTACATAGCTCTCATATCCACTTGTGTATTCCTTGGACTGTGGTTGTTCTACATAAATATATGATGATTTAATGTATAAAAAAACCTTTCTTGCCCATTGATAACATAATATATCTTTTATCAAAGATGTCCTTAAGTCTAACTATTACATAATTAGTTGGCTTTAAGGGCATATTTCTAACAACGCGTCCTCCATCAAACCTGCAGATACACCCAAAAAAAATCTAATCAAATTAAAATTGAAGGGGACAATGTTTTAATACAACTAAAGAGTAAAAAAAATTAAACTAAAAATCACACCTTCAACATTAGCTCACACTTTCAGCCTTCAATTTCAAGAGCACAAACAAACAAATCGCAGACAATCACCTTCAAAACACAAAAAACTCCAGATCTAAGTGAGCCAACCATCGTATAGATAAACTGAAAAAGATAAGAAAAAAACTGTAACAGTAATAGCAGATGGACGAGATTAAAAAAAGAAGAAGTAGAGTTGTGTTTACCCTTTTTTATTTTTGAGCCTGTCGAAAGCTTTAAGTAAAATTCCCCATTGAAAGAAGAAAAGAAAGAAAGAAGTGGGGGAGAGGAGGAGGAAGAGGGGGCTGGTTATGCATGAATAAAGTTTAGTTGGAAGAAACCCTAGGAAATACCCGGAAGAGAGAGAGAGTACATAGTATTAGGGGCGGATTTAAAAATTCAAAATTCATATTAACTATTAGGGGCGTAAATCATTAATAGGGGCCAATACCTTATCCGCCCCTAATGAACCATAATAGGGGCGTATCCAAATTTCTGCCATAATTAGAGTGCCGCTAATACTTCGATTTTTGGTAGTGTGATAAGTTTCCAAAGTCCTTCAAGATATATCGCAATTGAGATGTTTGACAGGAAAAGCAAATAAGGTAGGTGGATAGGAATCCAATCTTGCTTGCATAGCTTTCATGTACCAATAGTCGAATCAAATTTTTTTCCATTGATTGTGAAAGACTGATGCAATAGTCATGGCAGACACTGGGTGTAGTGTTTTGGAGTTCATCGATGAGGCAGGGGCTTTTTGTCTTTGTCTAAAGTTTTTTTAAATCTCTTTAATTTTATTTTAACAAGAGTTAAAATGAGTGGTGAATCTAGTTGTCAATAAATTATACACATGGCGAATTTTTAGTGGAAGTGTCACTAGCTGACGTGGTGATACCGTCCAATTATATAATTTATCTAATCCTTCATTTGAATGAATGCATTAATTAATTAATTAATCTGCTTCAAAAAGAGAGAAAACAAAACACAAGGAATTCAAGCATTAGGAAAAAATGTAGCAAATTTATGATGACAATTGAAGGTTAGTGCAAGTGTAGATAAGGGCAAAGTTCATTCCTTGAAAGGCAATATGATTCAATGACTCCCTAATTGGAAAGAAATTTGGGCTAGTGCGAGTGAAACCCCAGAAATTATTCAAACGTGTCACCCTCTGAAGAGTCCAAGTCCGCCAATCAAAAGAAGGAGAGGCCAAGAGTGGCGTCGACAGAATCACAAACACATATTCAAAAGTTGCTCCGTCGCCAAATTTGCCATTCTAGACAAATTTTCTCTAATCCCATTCTAGTAGAGATCGAAAGCGACACTTAGATACTAGAAAGCGACACATAGAGCCACTTAGAGCCTAGAGATCGAAAGCGACACTTACAGCCACTTAGAGCCATTCTAGTAGAGATCGAAAGCGACATTTAGAGCCATTCTAGACAAATTTTCTCTAATCCCACTCGAAATCAACAATAAGTCTATGCCCTCTCTCTCTCTGTCTCAAAACAAATAACCTTTTCACTCTCGATATCTATATATACCCTCCCCCTCCAAGTAGCTAGCTAGCTAAGAACAAATCATTCAGTTTCATAATTTCAAAAGACATGGTTAGGATTATTGTGAAAGTGTTGACAAACACCGATGTCTCTCAAAGACTTGGAGTGACCACGGAAATGCTGAATGAGCTGCCTCCTTACAATCGAGAGCATGATGTGCCAGTCAGAGTTCTAGATGACACAGGTATGAATTACAAGTTCAAATTATCTGTCAGGGCTGAGGGAGCTTTAAAGCCTGTTTTCCAATACCAAGAATGGAGAGCCTTTGTCAATCGCAGAAAGATTAAAGCTGGGGACGTCATCTATTTCTGGGAGGAGGCAAGTGTGGCTCATGAAACTGAATATCGAATTGCACTGCTTAGAACTTTTGTATAGAAGGCCAGAAGCCTCGCTTTGTCCCTAGCTAGGGTCCATTATCTTCATGTCTTTGTTGCAGTTTGCTGTGGCTTTGTTACTCTTGTGTACTTGGTGTGTGAACTTCACTTTTGTTATGAATATGTGTTGGATTTTCTTTACTTTAGCTTCAGTTCATATGAAATATCATAAAGGTCTTGGATACCAATGTTGCTCCCATCCTCATCATTGTAACTATGGAGAGAGAGAGAGAGAGAATTTGAAGCTATGGCTATAGTTGACATGTACGATCCAATTCTACTGTACTGCGAGAATAAATAACTGTGAAATGAAGTAGTTAGTGTTTGGTAATCTATATTGTAAAAGTATTTGGTAAATATTTTTATAGAAGTGCTATGACTATGTATAATGACCAAAAATGATATGATACCAAAATGTTTTTTTTATGTTTTTCATAAAAGACAAAAAAAAGGGTTTTTTTTTTCCCTCTCCCTGTTCTCTCTTCTTCTTCGTCTCTCTTCTCTTTCTCTGTAAACAGCCAAAGGTTAGAAAGAAAAAAAAACCCAAACCAGGCCAAAGAAATCAACAACAACGAAAACAAATCTGCAACCCAGAACTGCATAAAAGCTTTGGACACAAACCCTCATCAAAGTTTTTTTTTTTTTTTGTTTCCAGATCTGCAATTCTGTCACTGGTTGATAAGGAATCAAATCTGCAATAATTGGTTTTCCCCCATTGATTCCCCTGTTAAACATTTTCTTCCTTTCTTATGGTTGTTCCACAGCCCCACATAAAACTCTCTCTCTCTCTCTCTCTCTCTCTCTCTCTCTCTCGTGGTGGGTCTGAACGTAGAATAGACAGTGAGGATAAGGGATGTCATTTGTTAGAATAAGTAGGGGTATTATGGGTATTTTGAATGTTTCATTAATTGCTCCGCATGCTTCCATCCGCGGCAAAGCTAGTGTCCATCTAGCACCAGGATTAACTCCTGAATTTACGGTAAGGGAATCTGACATTAGCCACCTCACTCAATTCATCTATTTCCATTTTAGCGTTGTGAACAAAGCTCCCAAATGCAAACTGAGGGTTACTTGGTGAGGAAGCCTAATCAAAAGCAAGTGACAAAATCTGAGAGGCTGGTGATCAGTAAAAAGGTCCACTTTGTTGAAGCAGCCTACAGAATAAATAAGTAACACGTCAATTAAAACTCAAAGATATCTATAGCACGAAATATGAAAAAGGAAAAATGTTGGTTAACTATGGTTTTGTGAGTTTTGACCACTACGGTCAGTTGTCCTGTAGTCAATAAGCTTATCAAGGAATTTTCAATCTCTTGTTTGTTTCAATCTCTATATGGTCCGATGGTTGGAGAAAAGGTCTTCAATTTTGTTTTCCTATTTGTGTAAATTGTTTTGGAGGGAAAACATCAACCATTTGAAGAAGACAAAATGAATTGAAGCAAGAACATGACATTTATGATATTTCCTTACATAGATTGGCTGAACTACATGCAACTTACAGAAATAAATTTACACAACTGGATCAGGTGCTGGTGTGCAGGCCAATTCAGCTTCCATTAAACAAGAGTTGCATAGATTGGCTGAACTACATGCAACTTACAGAAATAACTTTACACAACTGGATCAGGTGCTGTTGTGCCGGCCAATTCAGCTTCCATTAAACAAGAGAGCCCCCAACCAGCAAAGAGCATCCGCTACCACATTTTGTTCTCCATATACATGGCTAATCTTGCCCCTCCAGTTTTGTATTTCCAATTTTTTGAACAAGTAGTTCATCTACTTGTTCCTCATCACGGCATCTTGTAGTTTTAGTATCTTCCCCTACTTTCTGTTCCCCTAACACAAATTTCTGAGCATCTATGCCATACAACAACCGGAGCCTACAACTCTTCACCTGATTTTGGAAATCCTTAACGGGTCTCTTAAAACCATCCACTTGGTTGAAGTCAAAAGAGGCCTCAGTGGCATTAAGATAGCTAGTGTAGTCTACTCCCCCTACAGGTTCAAAGGCACTATACCATACAACCACATGATCCGAATTGAAATTGTAGTTATTGCTTTCTCCATGGTTGGTTTCATCACAACACAGAACATACATACGATAATCGAATTCACAGCTTACACCATTATTTGCTTTGAAATTGAATTTACATCCAAACCCTAAACTCCCTTTAACATTATAGTTGTCGAATCCAACAACAAGAGATAGAGCGAAACCCAAGAAATTTGAATAAAACCAATCTGGAGGAAGCTTGATATTTATTGAAGATCCCTCGTTTTGATAGCTGAACCAATTTGGAATTTCACGTCCTGGGCATACAATGGTAACTGAAGGTCTTCTAGTATAATAGTTCTGTGCAACGGATGGACGTCGTGATTATTAAACAAATTAACAAACAAAAGTTAACAGATACTCCAAGCTTAATTACAGAGCACAGGAAACTAGTTATCAATTGAATAACAGAACTGAGAGAGAGAGAGAGAGAGAGAGACATACATTTGATGCAACTTCAATTTCTCCTACATCTGATGCTACTTCAATTTCTTCTTCAAGTTCTGCATCTGATGCGTCTTCAAATTCTGCTTCAAGTTCTACATCTGCTGCTACTTCAATTTCTTTGGAAAGTTCTGCATATGAAGCTACTTCAAATTTGTCAAACTTTGATGAGGCAAATGCCAAACGCATAATTCTAAGTTGTGCATCCGCCATTATGTGGTACCATGTATTCTGATCCAATTTTAGGCAATTAGAGAAAATAAGTTCCTGGTTAAGCCCTGGAAACAAATTATATCCATCCAACTCTTGTGCGAGTGCAGTCCTTGGGCTTGACACTGTGTTAAGCAACGTGCAGCCATGTGCTTTAAGAGAATATAGCATTAATGGGAGCTCTGGTAAAGATTGAAGGCTCTTGCAATTGATCAGGGACAGGCAAAATAGCCAAGAAGCTTGTTTGATGTTTGCAGGTATGCTCTCAATCATGGTTCCACTTAGCTTTAAATCTCGTAATGAGGTTAAGCAAAGGAGGTGATCAGGGATCTGTAATGTACTGCAGTAACTGAGGTTTAATACTTCCAAAGAGTGCAAACCGACTGAGAAGGGAGGCAATTTCTTAAGTTTCAAACAACCATCAAACCTTAGAGTAATTAGACGGTTTAAATTGTAGATGCTCTTTGGGACAAACTCAAGGTTCTTGCAATGACGAAGATCTAACTTTTTAAGCCAAGTTAGATTTCCAATTGATGAGGGTAGCTCTTTAACAGTTGTTCCTTTTAATGAAAGAAAATTCATATCTTTCATAAGCTCCAAAATTTCTGGGAAGTCTTCAAATTCAGAGCAACCAGTAAGATCAAGTTCTTGAAGAGATTTCAACTTACAAATGCTCGTTGAGAGACTTGCAAGCGTTTTGCAATTTTTCAGCTCAATTCTAATGCGACCGAAGAGACATTCAATTGATGAGGGTAGCTCTTTAACAGGTGTTCCCTTTAATGAAAAAAACTTCATATCTTTCATAGGCTCCAAGATTTCTGGGAAGTCCTCAAATTCACAACACCCACTGAGATTAAGTGTAAGAGATTTCAACTTACAAATGCTTGTTGGGAGACTTGTAAACCTTTTGCAATTTTTCAGTTCAATTTTAATGAGACCGAAGAGACATTCAATTTATGAGGGTAGCTCTTTAACCGCTGTTCCTTTTAATGAAAGAAACTTCATGTCTTTCATAGGCTCCAAAATTTCTGGGAAGTCTTCAAATTCAGAGCAACCAGTGAGATCAAGTTTGCGAAGAGATTTCAATTTACAAATGGTGGGAGGGAGATGCGCTAACCTTTTGCAATTTGTCAGTTCAATTGTCATGATACCAAAAAGGCATTCAATTGATGAGGGTAGCTCTTTAACAGCTGTTCCTTTCAACGACAGAATGTTTAGATGTCCCATAGGCTCCAATATTTCTGGGAAGTCTTCAAATTCAGAGCAACCAGTGAGATCAAGTTCGTGAAGAGATTTTAACTTTCAAATGCTCGTTGGGAGACATACAAACCTTTTGCAATTTGTTAGTTTAATTCTGATGAGACCAAACAGACATTCGATTGATGGAGGCAGCTCTTTAACAGATGTTCCTTTTAAACTAAGATAATTCAAATCTTCCATAGGCTCCAAGATTTCTGGGAAGTCTTAAAATTCAGAGCAACCCGAGAGATCAAGGTCGTAAAGAGATTTCAACTTACAAATGCTCATTGGGGGACACACAAACCGTTTGCAATTGATTAAATGAAGTATGAAGAGATTAAAGAGAAATTCGATCGCTGAGGGTAGCTCTTTAACATATGTTCCTATCAAGGATAGAATATCCGGCACTCCCATAGGCTCCAAAATTTCTGGGAAGTCTTCAAATTTAGAGCAACCACTGAGATCAAATCCACAAAGAGATTTCAACTTGCAAATGCTTGTTGGGAGACGCAACCTTTTGGAATTTTTCATATCAATTTTCGAGAGACCAAAGAAACATTCGATTGATGAGGGTAGCTCTTTAACAGATGTTCCTTCTAATGAAAGAATTTTTCAGTTCTCCCATAGGCTTGAAGATTTCTGGGAAGTCCTCAAATTTAGAGCAACCGGTGAGATCAAGGTCGGAAAGACATTTCAACTTACAAATGCTTGTTGGGAGACACAAACTTTTTGCAATTTGTCAGTTCAATTTTGACGAGACTAAAGAGAAATTCGATTGATGAGGGTAGCTCTTTAATATTTGTTCCTTCTAATGAAAGACACTTCAGATTTCCCATAGGCTCCAAGATTTCTGGGAAGTACTTGAATTTTGAGCAACCACCGAGATCAAGATTTATAAGAATTTTAACTTACAAATGGTCGATGGAAGACTCACAAATCTTTTGCAATCAAGTAGTCGAATTGTATTGAGACCAAAGAGATCCTCGATTGATGAGGGCAATACTTCTATTTTTGCCCTTATCATTTCTAACACTGTTAGATCCCTTGGAAGCTCCGAAAACTTGCCAAGACATGAGCAGCCCTCTAGACTGAAACCGGAGGAGGGTAGTTTCAGCTTACAGCTGCTGCTTGGGAGATTCCTAAGGTAGTTACAAAATCGAATATCCAAGTAAGAAATCTTTTCGTGAGACCAAACTGATGAAGGCAATTCCTTTATTGCAGTTTTAGACAAATTTAAGAATTCAATGTTGCTTGGCATCTGCGGAAGATATTTGAGATTCGAGCATTCTCCCAGGTCAAGATGAGTAAGCTTGTCAAGACACTGAAAATACGAAGGTATTTGAACCAAACTTGTACAGTCAAAAAGATTTATATGCACCAATTTTCGACTTTGAGAGAGATCTGGGACTTTAATAAGATGAGTAGAGAAACTAAGATCCATCACTTTTAAGTTCTCAAGATTCTGTCATAAATAAAGAGAAATGACAAGACTTAATAACTTAGACTGAAGAAATAATCACACTAAATTTTATACAATAAGCGAAATAAGCATATACCTGGTCTTTATTCCAAAGTCGCTCAACTTTGCTGCCGTGCATTCGAAGCTCAACAAGATTTTCTGAAAAAATTTGATGGCATAGATTTCAAAGGATATTCCGCCCAGGAAAGATAACAAAGAGAATTGGGAAGAGAAACTTTTAATTGGCAATAGTTGCCAAAGCTAGAATCGCCGAGATTGAGTAAACTTAGATTAGACATCTTTTTGAAGTCTGCACAATCCAAGTGTGGTTCTCCAATCTTAGATCTGTTAAAGAATATGGCTCGAACGGTTTCAGTTCCCTGACCATAAGAGCGAAGTATAAATGTTAATGCAATATACAACAAAGTTTAATCAAAACTACATTTGTATGTATCTGACACATGAGTTTTTTCCTAGGTGTCTTATCATAGAAAATTCACAAAAATGTTAATTATCTTTTTAAAGAAAGTGAATGGATTTGGCTCTTATATTTCTCAATACGTGACAGATATCCTCAGCAATGAAAAACCTACTACGTTTTCCAGGCTCTTAAATACATTGTTCGTAAACTATTGCCCTACCCATTTCCTGAACCAAATCATGCATCTCTAGGCTGTTCCATCTTGAAATTGATACGAGAGACTTATCAATGTGAACTTTAATTCCATCAGCAAATAAACCACTTATATCTATCATTTCCTTTGCAAAATCTATTGTCATCTCTTTATAGAAACATGCTATTTCAAGAAATATCTCCTTTGCATTTTTGTCTAATCCATCATAACTTAGTCTCAACATGTTCTCAATATCTTGGTCGGGAAATTTTTTCAACTTATTCCATTCATCTTTCCAGTCTTCATTGTTGTCGCAGTGAAGGAATACAGAACCCATAATCTTAAGAGCTAAAGGCATGCCTCCGGCATAATCGGCCACCATTCTGAAAACCTCTGTATAACATTTTTCAGTACAGTTATGTTTCAAAGCATGCAAATGAAAGAGCTCAAGAGCTTCAAAATAATATAATCCCTCAACCTCGTAAATCTTATCAGCAACAACCAATTTCTTAAGTAGGCGCCTATCTCTTCTTGTTATAATGATTCGACTTCCAGGGCCAAACCGGACATAATCACCAACTAGAAGTTCTAATGGTTTTGAATCATTCACATCATCTAGAACAATGAGGACCTTTGTATGGCTGAGCCTTTCTAGAACAAAAGTTGATCCTATGGATGGAGTGTCAATAGTTAGATCTTTTTCGTTTAATATCTCACAAAGAAGGACATTTCGCAAGTGCTTTAGTCCATGATTTTCTGACTCCTCCCTAACATTTGCAAGAAAACAAGAAGTTTCAAATTTAGAAGAAAGTCGGTGATACACAGCATCAGCGAGAGTGGTCTTGCCAAATCCACCCATGCCCCAAATACCTACAGTGAAAACATCTGGTGAATTAATGCATAATAACCCTTCTATTTGCTCAATTTTCCATTCAATTCCGACTAGGCCCTTTAAATCACTTGACGATTTGCGATTCAATTTGGTCAAAAAATCTTCGACAATGTTCTCAATGAAATTGGCCTCTGTCCTGGCAAATATGATTATGAGGACAAACAATTAGTTAGCCTTAAGGAATCTTGTTAGAATTAAATGGTCACAAGTAGAAATAGCAGAGTTAGTTACCCGGTTTTGTTTGAATTATCAAACCCAGCCATATTGGCTGCTGCCTCCAAAGCATCTCTCCACTTGCACACCTTCATAACTCCCTCCGTGCTGTCCTTGAAACATGTTTCAAGTTGAGCAAATGCATATGCATAACTTCCCTGCTGATTTCGAACATGTGATGGGTTGATGCAGTAAAAAATCGGTAGAACAAACTGTCCCCTCTTGCCTTGCATCGCAGTAAATGATCACCGAAAGCTTTGATGTCTCAATTGCTTCGAAAAGGGCAGGTGCAATTTGCTCTCCTCTCTCAAGTATGTCGTCTATGTAGGTTTTGATTTTCTTTGAGCATAAAGCAGCATAAAGATGGCTGGTAAAAGTATAGCGGGTGTCCTCACCTCTGAAACTAAGAAACACATCATACTTTTCCTGAGGGGGGATTGCAGCAGCAGAGGAAGCCATATTGATAACCTGCAAACCCACTACAAGTCAACACTCAAAACTTCGCTATATTCTTGACCAAAAAACCCATGCATATTCATAACACATGCAAATTAACAACACTAGCCGCACATTGGCTGTATATATTCAGAATGAGAAATATGTTGGATTTTCTTATAATACTAGCAGCACTAAGAGATCAATATGCAAACACCAGAAAAGGATAACAAAGACAGTGATGATGAACTCAAAGGTCGGCTCCTGCTTCTGGGACCAGACTTGTTTTTCCTACCTCGATAATCTACTTTCCTTGATACATATAGAAGAGTTGTCTTCTGGGGAAAGGCTGATAATATCAACCAGCCGTACAAATATAAGAAGCAAAGTGGCTTCTTAAAGTCCTTACAAACATAATACAACAAAAACAGTTTCTGACAGAATAGGCTCGAGCCCTTTTTCACATACAAGAATTAGCCCGAGCTCTTTTTAACATAATCTCAGATATATAACAAGAAGGACATTAACATTAAATTTAACAAAATAAGGAAAAAAAAATCCAAAAAATTTAAGATCTTTGTACAACGCACAAGTTTAACTCAAAAACATAACCAAATCATAAGCTAGAAGGGTACAAAATGATATACAATTATGAACCGATCAAACAGAGATATCCAAGATAAGTTAGAGGCAGTCTCGAAGGGGAAGTCAGGATTGTCTTAAGCAAAACGTAAAATTTAAGAAGACGTTGCACCTCAGGATTGTCTTAAGCAAGAGAGAGAGCACTAGAAAGCAGTTTCAGAGAGGTTGCCTTTCTTATTAGGAAGCAATAGATTGTTGCAGTTGCAGGCAATTACCCAACCACTCCCTGCTAAAGAAAAGGCATTATATCGGGGACATGGCATGCACACCATTGTTTTTCAGTCAATAGAACTTTCATTAGAAAAACCCGAGCAACCAAAAAAAAAAAAAAGAAGATAAAAATACAAAAGTCCTAATCATGAGGGAAAGTCTTGGGGTATAAGTGTTAGAAGTTGTCATATGTTGAATTTGTCTATGTTAATTATGTTGTCTAGTAGTCAATTAATGTGGCTAGTAATAGTCAATTAATGTTTGGCACCTACTATGTTTGGCACCTACAATATTTGGGGGGCTTGACTAGTTTGGTTGCCTAATTAGTTTGGTTGCCTAACTTGGTTGGTTGCCTAACTTGGTTGGTTGCCTAACTTGGGGGGCTTGACTAATGTCTTAGGAACTTGTATATATATGTGTTGATTGTAAGTAATGAACATAAGTGAAAATCAGAAAATATTCAACAACTCTCATTCTCTCTACTCTTTCCACTTTCTTCTCTCAATATTCTCTATGTTTTGACGGATGTGCAATGGAAGTCAACTTTGTTAAGTTCAACTTAGATGAAAGTCAGCTGTATTCTGTGCAATTCTTTATACTAATTATTTAGCAATACTCTCAAAAGAACGTGCTGTCTTTGCTGGAATCCAATTTAGCACCTCTAGTTTTTTCATAGGGTCAATTTCATTAGTTGCCCTGCATTTGAGGTCACTTGCAAAAGTAACCCTTGAATGTTACTTAAAAATGAACAATTCTAATCATGACATGACAACGTAGGGTGAGTCATCGAAACAAGTAGTTAGAGCCGTATCAATCAAAAAGGAAAGAAAAAAGAACTTTTGGGCTTGTCTGAGTTAGATGCATCTCTCTAAAAAGTAAGCTTAGTTTTCTGTTGAAGCCACAGAGGAGTTTTACAACACTGAGGCAATTCAAGCATGTTTCACAGTAACTAGACAGATGTTGGAGATGAGGTTAATTTAACATGTACAATGCATCTAAGGAATTGAAGAATATGTAATTACCCATTCAGGCAAACTAACTACAGCTTTACACTCAGAGTATCAACAACACAGAATTCAAACTGGTAACCAAGCTTGCACCTGCAGTGTATAGGAAGCTCAAACCCCTCTCCACCAATTGGCAGGGAAGCCTCATTCATTGTGTGTCAAAGCAGATTGTAAATTGGCCATCTTGCCAGATCTCCAAATCTTGAAATTCAATCATTGGGCACAAGCACCATGTCTATCAACACATAGCACATCTCGTTTAGCTAAAACGCATACACAAATAATGCTCTATATCTTCACTGTGCTTGCACAAACATCTGGCTGGACACACCATGCAACAAATCCACGTTCCCATCAGTGTGACTAATCCAGTCATGGAGAACCACATGAAGCGGGATTGAGGGACCAAATCCAAGTTCCTGAAACACATTTTGAGAAGAGTGTAAATAAAAATAGTCTCAGTTTGCTACATTCCAAATTGTACCGAGCCTTATAACTCTTTTTTGTTTCTAGAATGGTAAAAGTAAGAAGGGATTAAAAGAGAAGGCAAATCAACATGTCACGATGGTGTTTATTAATATGGCGTCAAAGGTCAGTATAGGGCATACGCCATGCAGCTTTCCTCAACTAAAATCAGGATTGCGAACATTTGCAGTAGTTTAAATTCTTCTTTTTCTCTGGATGTGGAGCAAACTAATAAATCATTACTGTGATGGAGGAGGGAACTACATTGCTTCAATTCAAAACAAAAAGAGGACTTGGTCGAAACAAGTTAATGTGTAATATTGTGATCACTAGTTCTCTCCACAGTAACTCTTTATCTGAG